GTCAGTGCACTCCCACAGGGGAGCTCTCTCAGTCACAAGCCAGGCTGATGGCTGCCAGCACAGCAGTGGTGGAAGAACCCTCTCCCACCTCCTCAGCAGCCTAAGGATGTCCAACTGCAGCTTAGGCCTGCTCCCCGCTTGCAAGTGGACATCCCCTGAGGCTCCCAGGCTGCCAGAGGGTTGTCTGACTGCCAGCTTAGGCCTGTTCCCCAGGGGGCAGGCCTAAGCCAGCAGGTGGACATCCCCCAAGGGTTCCCAGACTGTGAGAGGGCACAGGCCGGGCTGAGGGACCCCCCACCCGAGTGCACAAATTTTTGTGCACCGGGCCTCTAGTATGTATATATGTATAAATGGGTAGGCAAAAGTAGGTTTACAGTTGTTTGTAACTCAAAAGAATGTCATCATAACTGTAAACCTATGTTTGCCCATCCCTGTATATGGCATGGTGAAAAGTACAGAATTCCCAAGAGTAGAGCCTCAATAGAAGGAGTGTAATGCTCTGAGATGCTGCTTAAGAAATGAGCATGATCTGAGAGGCTCTTCTCTCCTTTCAGGCTGGCAGTGAGCCACGGACCTCCCACTAAGGGTCTATAGTGACTCAAAATTAGCATGATGCTGTCATTGTCACTCAGTTGAATGATTTTGAAATGTCGTTTCTCCTCAGTACTTTGGTGTCTGTTTGTCATTTTCAGCTCTTCTCCTATTTTGCTTTCTCAGTGTCTGAAATTATCTCTCAGCTCAACCACAGAGATTAACCTGGGGCACTCTCCCCAACCTACGTTGCAGTTTGCTCCCTCTTTCTGTCAGGCTTATTTCCTCACCACTCCAATCGTGTTCTATGTGGTTTAGACAACTCAAAAAATTTTTTTAAAGAAATTTATCTAGCAACTGGTCATATGGTTCAGAAAGAAGGTAAAGTTATAGGTCAGTTTATTATAATCCATTATCAAATAACTGTAGTGCAGGACCATGAAGTTCACCTGGGATTGGTCACCCAGATACTGTAATTACTTCTCTATACACTCAAAAAAAAATGCTTGTAGCAAAAAATAATTTTTAAGTAACATCCATTATTTAACAGTAATTAACAATAAGAAACTAGTTCAATAAATAGGAATAGTTAAATAAGTTGTGATAAATTTATATAGTGGAATTACTCTATGACTATTAAAATAGGGTGTTTTTGAAGATAAATGACAAAGGAAATGCACACAATAAAAATTAATAAAGATATATAATTTACAATATGATGTGACTCTAAATATGCACTTTTTTACATATGGTTTCTGTGGTTTTTTTACAATGAATATATATTACTCTTCTAATCAGAAAAATACATACATAAATAAACTATGATTCTCTAGTTTCCAATTTTTATTAAGTACAATTTTTAAAAGATTAACTCAAAAGCTTACCTTTCAATGAAAAAAATCATACCACCCCTAAAGATGATCCATAATACAATACAATATTTCTTATCCATTGTATTACTGTGTCAGCAAAATTAGTTATGCCTGATATGATGTTGGTTTATCTTGCCTAGCACAATGTTGGCTCATCTATAAAATAAACATTAAGATCACCTACAACTCTAGTGTAATAGATTTTCCTGTCTGAAAATCAGCAAAACTTATTTAAAGGGCATTAGAGGATAAGACTTAACCCTTTCTGGAAATCAGTAGCATAGTTCAGTGTAAAAATTCAAAGCACAACTAATTCAAAGTTAGTTCCACAGAAGTAGCAGCAAAGTAAATAAATAAATAAACTAGACTTCAACAATCACAAAAGAAAAATTTCCAGTGTTATCAGATCAAATGCTTTTGAATCTATTAATACTTAAAACTCAACTCAGAGAAATTATGGCACATTTTAAATAGCAGAAAGTGAAGTCATTCTTCACAGGATGAATTATTATTTTGTTTTTATTCTCTCAAGAAAGGTCACTTCATTCATTTCAAGGTCTGTTCTAAAATGAAAGGGTTTATAATAAAATTAATCATAATGTTGCTCATAATACGTACTTTTTACTCCTTCCCTCCTCCTGGAGCTACTGCAGTATAATGCACTTCACAATCGATTTATGCTTCCTGAAGAGCCCAACATTTCATGAGTCATTTTTATTTTTCTGCAAGCATTCAGTAAAAGTCCCCTATGACACAAAGCCTTCAAGGACCCAGGGTTTAGAGAACGCCTTGAAAGTCACATAGAAATATAAAGTTCTGTAATTTGCTCTGGCAAGTATATCATTAACCAGATATGTAAATTAACAGCATTTGACAGAAACACTGCTTTTTAAATAACTGTTCCAGCCACAGGCCCTTTGTCATCTCTCCTATATGCTATCATCTTCTTGACAGAGACCATTGGGCATATCATGGTAGTTGGAAGATGGTTACTTGGGGCTTAATTTTGTATTCTAACACTTGCAATTATTACTTTAAGTAAACATTATATTTAGGAATGGGCACAGATAAAAATAGCCTAACTTGTCATTAAATTTCTATAAAAATATTACAGAATGGATGTCATATCTCATGCTTTTGTTACACAGTGTATTGTAGAAATGATGTCTGTTTTTTTAATCACCCCTCAAAGAGAAACAAGTCCAGGCACTATTCACATTATTCAAGATTTTATAATCATCTATGCTTATTTGAAAACCTTTGTCATATGCCACAGAAAGGTTTTGTAGAAATCAGTGTATGAAATCTATAGCTTCACAACACTGACAAGTGCAAATGGTTAACAACTAATGTGTGTGCATAATTATTTCAAAATAATTGAATAGGAAAATGTTCAGGACTATTTGTAATTTCCCCTGCCTTTCTTAGAGTAGTGAAAAATAAGAGAAAGAGAAATAATTAAAGCAAAAAGTAGAAAAGCTATGAAAGCTAATAAAGTCTTTCGGGTATGAAAAAAGCTGCACTCGGTGCACAGGGTGAATTCTTCTGGACAAAATCTCCCCAGAGTTTCAGCACCTGGGAAGCCATTGTTGTCAATTATTTTCCTATAATGTTGCATGGATGGTTTGGGTTCAAACTGATTGGCAGCATAACGATAGAGGCCAAACTTTGGAGCTGTGCGATCATTAAATGAAAACACAAAGTAGCCACAAAGGTTGATCCCATCCAATATGTAGGCTGGAAAAACAAAAGGACAAGAGAATAGTTAATAAAATATTTTGCACATAACCCTTTACTTTTACATGGCCTTGGTGCCTCAGGAGAAAATGTCAATACATTTATTAAAACTTCAGACTAAATTGTATTTAATCAGAAAAGTCTTCTTTTATAAAAAGACAAATAGACAAATACCAAGACAAAGTATGAGCTACATTTAACATAGTAGGTTTTACATAATGAAACCTACTCTGAAGTACTTGAGTTAATCTTCACATACATGAAGCAGATTAGACTGCTGTGAGGCCATCTGAGGATGGAGGACAGGATGGTCCATGCTTTTATAGGCTCAGAGTAAGTTGTAAGCTAAACTTTTAGCTAAACTTCTTTATCTCTGGGGAAAATACTAACTCTTGGTGGGACTTTTTCAGTGTGGCAAGAAATGGACAGTGCTTCTCTCTGAAGGTGACTCTGTGTATTTGAGAATTTCTAACAGGCATCATGCCTTTGAGTAACAAAACCTTCAAGAGACAGTTTTCAGGAGGCCTTACCTTTCAGAGCTTCATTTACATAATTCTGCATATAGTACACCCTCAATTTGTCTTGGCCTGCTTGCAGATCATCATCAATGCCATTGGAGATTATATACATGGGGAGGTCTCCATATTTCAACTTTAGCCAACTCAGGACCTTTCGTAAGCCCCAGGGCACTACTGCTACCTGACTGGGGGAGTTGAGCCATGTGATGTCTGTCATTTCTTGCACTTCCAGATAATCGTTATATTTTATTGGATCTTCTTTTTCCCAGTCTACAAGGATGGTGGTGTAATGGCTTACAGCCAAAAAGTCAAAGGAACCCTGTATGAGCTTTTTTTCATCTTCAGTGAAATAAGGTAGAAGGAAATTGTTTCTATGATTCAGCCAGTCCCTCATCACACGTGGATAATCCCCAGAACCAAAAATGGGCTCGGCCAGCCAGCCAATGTCAAATTCCAAAACTCTCTCTGCCACTTCTTTGTCCTTTGGGGAAAAAGGGCAGGCTGGTTCTATCCAGTCAGCCTGCAAGGCTATGGATATTTTTCCTTTCTGAGAGCGTCTAAACTTCTCATCATACAAGCGCCAAGCCAGGGCGTGGGCTTTCAGCAGGTTGTGCCCTGCACTGTAGGTCATGTTCCGCGTGTACGGCTCGTTCATGGTGATCCAAAACTTGACGTGGGAGCCAAGATCTTTAAAGCACAACCTAGCATACTCCGCAAAAGCCAGGGCCGTCTGGGGATTCTCCCAGGCGCCCTGCTTGGCCAGAGGCTCCGGCAGACCTTGGTGCGGGAACACAGGTTGCCACAGGGCCACAACTGGGGTTATGTTGGCATGCAGGAGTTCACTGGCAACACAGCGATAGTAGTGCAGGACCGTGCGGTTCACCTGGGATTGGTCACCTAAAGGCAGGATCAGGGCCCAGTCCAGCGAGAAGTGGAAATGTGTCACACGCATTTCCTGGAGTAGGGCGATCTGGAGCCTGATGACAGTAAAGTCGACACAATAAGGTTTCCTCCTCTTGGTCACAAGGCCGTCCACCTTAATGAGCCTCTTACTGTGGTGGACATCCCACAAGTAAACGTTTGGGTCGGTAAACTGAGACAAAGTGGTGTCAACCTAGGAGGAGCAGAGGGAGCATAAGTCTATGACTTCAGCTGGACAGGCCTAGAAAAGTAATTCAATGCAATTCTTTCAAGGAAGCTAGCTAGCAAGATGAGCAAAAGTAATAACCTTTCTAGCTGAAAATTGAAATGATTTTTCACAAATAGTGAGTTTCTGAAGAAAAAATACCCCACTTTCTTTTTTACACATTTGTTTTACCTGTAGTTCTCTTTATTTAAACCCATAGTTTAATATTTTTAAAAAATCTGAAATTTTTTACTTACTTCAGATAACAAACAGTAGTAGTGATTCTCACACATGTCTGATCTGTGTTAAGCAAGCAGAATATTTTTGGACATTTTTCTTTAAATATAAGAAATCACTATGGTGATGAGACTTACAAAAATGTTTAATGAAAAAGATAAAGCTTAAAACCTAAGTGAGTTAGAGTCAAAAAATTGAAATGACATTTAAAAATTATATTGTGCTTTTAAAAATCACATTCTACACAGATTTGCTCTCAGAAGAGGAGGTACTAAATAAGCTTAACTGTAGCCTTTTGTTAGCTTTGGAGTTGATGACAGAATTTAACAAATTCAATCTGACTGGTGGTAGAAAGCGACAAAGAATATGGACATAAGAAACAATATTGCCATTCATCCATAATGGAATATTTTAACATAGTTTAAAATTTTTTCCTAATTGTTTTTCTATGATGATCATGACAATATGGTTCTCAACATCTGACATCAAAACTTCCAAAATGAAAATAGGTATTCAGGACATTGAAAATTGTAAACTCATGACAAAATCCTCCCTCCACATGCAAACCATGAAGGGAATGCAAACTGAAAGTGCACCCCAAACCCACTGCCTACACCTGTTTTCTCTTGCAAATAGTCTCCTTAGAGAAGGTTACTTTGGTTTGACCCTCTGTATAAAAGCAGGGGTCAGACAAACTCCAGTTTTGAACCTCTAGTAGAGATTTCCTTAAAGTTTTATGGGGCTGTTGCAAATGAGCTGCTGTTTCACTGGGGGGGTTGGTGCTGTGTTCCTAAAGGAAAATAATAAAAAACCACATGTCAGAGGGAAATTGCGTTTTCTGGAGGATTGTCCCTTGTAGATCACCCACACATGCATTTCCCCTAGTACTGTGGGAATGCTGTCAGAAGTATTTTTCCTCTGTGCTGTACCCACCAATCATGTTTCCTTGGCTTTGCAAGAGATAATATTTGCATGCTCTTTTGAAGTGAAAGTGTTCATAGTTAGAAAGAATTTTTGGATTATTTTTATAGAACTCTGAGTTGACTAAATTTGTATCTTTTCTACCATAATTGTTCCAAAACACCAGCTTTTATTCAGCCCATTTGAAAACAAAATAGAGACTAAAGTATACATCTTGGGGGTAGAGGAATTTATTTCTTAAAAATACAGGATATTTATGGAGGCTGCTGGAGACCCAGGCAGTTGCTCTGTCAGAGACAGCAAGAGCACCGCTGTCTATAGATTCTTCTAAATTCCTTCTTGAACCCTGCCCATTGTACTAACTGTTGGAACTTATTGTACTAACTGTTGGAACTTAGTCCAAGTTCCTCCTTTATCTTCTGTTCACTAGTTACAGGTGTTGGGTCCTTGCACACTGGGTCTTAGACAGAGAAGCCATGAGAGGTTGTGTGTATATAAGAATGAGTCTTTATTGCAGAAGCCAGTGGCCATATAGCCATTAACCAACAGAGTCCTTTACAGCAGTCCTATACAGGCAGGCAGCCATATACCAGCTGGTGAACAGATACATCTTTCCCACAAAAGCAGCATTAGTCTCTATACCCACAGCTATTTATCTGAGCAGCTGCATGCTGCCTCTAAACCCACCACCTTACAACGTAGTGGTATCTGAGCTCTCCCTTAGAGCTATAGCCTTAGTAGCCTCTCCAGCCTCTCTGGCTCAGTAGCTTCTCCTTTCTCCTCTGCCCAGCACACTGGCTGGTCTCTGTGGCCTCACATAGTACCTCTAAGCTTCTTTCTCAGCACACTGGCTGGTTAAGTTAGTAGCTATATCTGAGCTCTCTATGAGCTCTTAGCCTTACATCAAAGCAGTACCAGCTCTCAGCTCTGTCTGAGTTTTCAGCTCCATCTGAGCTCTCTAGCCTCCCCCCTCCCACTCCCCAGCCTACTCTCTAGCAGACTAGCTGGTCAGTAATCTGTATATTACTCCAGAGACAAAGAAGGCTAGTTGCCAATAATGACATCATCATTTGGGTTATAGAAGGGCGCAGAATACAGTGAGATCGCTGTGGTCTTACAGCTGTGTTCAGAGTGGCCTTGGCCATTTGGCATACTATCAACAAGGCCTTTCACACTCTAAGTGGCCTTGGCTGTCTGAGGACTCTGGTGTGGTTCTCACATGGTCTTAAAGGGCTGGTGCACAAACTTACACAGTTCCACTCCCTCTGAGCTCCAATGCTTGGACAGCAGCTTGGGGGGATCCAGGGACATATGGGAAGGAACCGGATTGTCTGGCATCAGAGCAAGACCTTGTGGGGTGGCTTTCTCCCAGACAGGGGTGCTTACAGCAATCATTGTTCCTATGCTGAGACCTCACCCATTGCAGAGCTGACTGGCAGGCACCATAGCTAAGTCTCCATCAACCGGGCTCACACTATTCGCTTTGCCATGAGGAGTCCCTGAGACTCTGCCCCATCCAATTTTCAACCCCAACCAAACTGTTTGCAGTGGCTTTTCCATATGAATGACCTGTCCTAGCTCAGGCTTCCCTAAAATCTCTCAAACAAGAAGCAGCTGGCATCAGCAAGACCCGGCACAAGCAACAGCCTACCTTGCTTCACAGCTTGGCCTTGCCTGAGCACTTCCAAGCCCAACACAAGTAGCAGCCATCTTCAGATCCCTCTGTAGCTTCTGCTGAGTGGACCCAGGTAGTAACTGATTTTTCACCTCCCTGGAGGCCCCAAGGCCAGTGCACCCAGTGGGCAGCTTCAGAAAATACCAGATGATAACTCTACACATCCACAAGTGATACACTCAAAGGGCAGACTCAGTGAGCACCAAAGCCTCACTGAAGCAAGTCCTGCTCCATAAGGGTGTCTCCTACACAGCAACTCTTCCACTGTAGTTGCAACTGAACCTCAAAGCAAATTGGCCTGGATGTTAAATCCTCCGTGTGATGCCAACAGCAATCAAGGCTCAACTACAATAGGATAGTGCACACAGTTCACATAGGAGTGCACCTAGAGCTCCTCATGTGACTGGGGAGACTGAGCCACTGGGCCCTACAGGACACCTACTACACAAGGCCACTCTACCAATTCCAGGAGATAAAGCAGCTCTACCTAATACATAGAAACAAACATAGAGAAGCAGCCACAATGTGGAGACAAAGAAACATGTCACAAATGAAAGAACAGAAAAAACTAAAAGAACTAAATGAAATGGAAGCAAACAAACTACTAGATACAGAGTTCAAAACAATAGTTATAAGGTTGCTCAAGGATCTTAATGGGAGCTTCAAGGTACTTAGTGAGACTTTCAAGGATCTTACTGAAAATTCCAAAGACATGAAAAAGGAACAAACAGAAAATAAGCATACACTAACTGAAATAAAGAATAATTTATAGGAATTCAACAGTAGAAGATTCCAAGAATAAAATCAACAATTTGGAATATGAGGAAACAAAAAACACTCAATCAGAACATCAAAAAGAAAAAATTATCCAAAAAATATGAAGATAGTGTAAGGAACCTCTGGGACAACTTCAAGTGTACCAACATTCGCATTATGAGGGTGCCAGAAGGAAAAGAGAGAGAGCAAGACATTGAAAATTTATTTGTAGAAATAATTACAGAAACCTTCCTCTATCTGGTGAAAGAAATAGACTTACAAGTCCAGGAAGCACAGAGAGTCCCAAACAAGAGGAACCCAAAGAGGCCCACACCAACACACATTATGATTTAAATGACAAAGAGAATATCTTAAAAGGAGCAAGAGAAAATCAGTTAGTTACCTACAAGGGAGTGCCCATAGAACTGATTTCTCAACAGAAACTTTGCAGGCCAGAAGGGAATGTCAAGAAATATTCAAAGTGATGAATAGCAAACACCTATTACCAAGATTACTCTACCCAGCAAAGCTATCATTTAGAATTGAAGGTCAGATAAAGAGCTTCACATATAAGAAAAAACTAAAGGAGTTCATCACCACCAAACCAGTATTACATAAAATGTTGAAGGTTATTCTTTAAGAAGAGGAAGAGGAGCCGTAACCAGTTTGGCTCAGTGGATAGAGCATCGGCCTGCGGACTGAAATGTCTCAGGTTCGATTCCGGTCAAGGGCATGTACTTTGGTTGCAGGCACATCCCCAGTAGGGCATGTGCAGGAGGCAGATAATCGATGTTTCTCTCTCATCGATGTTTCTAACTCTCTATCCCTCTCCCTTCCTCTCTGTAAAAAAAAAATAAAAAAAAATTTAATAAAATACATTAAAAAAAGAAGAGGAAGAGGAAGAAGAAACTATGAACAATAAAATGGCAATAAATATCTATCAACAATTGAATCTAAAAATCAAAATAAATGAATAAGAATTTTAATGAACAAAATAAAATGATCAATAAAATAGAACCAGAGGCATGGAAACATGGAACAGACTGATTAATCTCAGAGGAAATTGGGGTGGGTGGGAAAATATTAACCAAAGAACTTACATGCATATATGCATTGCCTATGGACACAGATAATAGGGTGGTAAAAGCCTAGGGTGGGGTGGAAACCAAGTGGAGGAGGGCAATAAGGATTTAAAAGAGGGTCATCTATATTACTCTCAACAATAAAGATAGATTTAAAATAAATAAATAAATAAGTAAATAAATAAATAAATAAAATACAGAACATGTAGAAACAATAAAATTTAGGCACAATTATATCTAATCTCCTTTAAATTAGTTGACTTATCCTATATAATAAAAGCATAGTATTCAAATTGTCCCCTCCACCAGGAGTTCTTCTGGGAGTTCGACCAGGGTGTGGGGCTGGCTGAGGGAATGGAGGGAGGCCCCAGGTGGTAGTGGTGGCAGGCGGCCAGGGGAAGGGAGAGAGTACCCAGCCAGCAGCTGCTAGGGCCCTACCAGTGCATGAATTTCATGCACTGGGCTTCTAGTTTCTTAATAAAAAATGAAATAAAGCTGAATCAGAAGGAATAGGTATACAGTATGTATTTCATATGTTATGAAAGAAACTTTCTTCTAACATAACCACTGCTAAAGAAGCCATATATTCCCAGAATGTAGCATGTTCCATACCTAATTCACTATGAGAATTAGTAGTTGTGAAAAATTTGGTCCAAACAATGACAATCCATGTGAATAAGCCTAAGGTCAGATTTCAGACAGGTTGTGTGCTTAATGATTTTTAAGTTTTTCAAGTAAAATGTATGCCTCATTAATATTAGGATTTTGAAATGCTAGACAGGAGGAAAAGATAAATTTCAATGGTTTAAAAGTCACCTCTCAGGACTTTAATATAATGTAGTAAAAGGATAGAGTAAATTCAAACACTCCCACATTCCTCTGAACTGCCCTAACAAAAACCTTATTTTACTTTGTCAATTAAGAAGCCAGCTTGGGAATGGCACTACCAAAATAATGTATAGCTCATGGTGAAAAGCAAAAAAATAAAATAGCAATTGCAGCTTTTTTCCACTAAAGAGCTTTTGGAGTTCAAGTTCACCATGGGGTTGAAAGTGACTTAATTTTTTGTTTGGCTGATTCTGCATAGGAGAGTACTGGGGAGCTCTGCTAGGTGGAGGAGTAGGGGCCCTGAGCTAATGACCTGAGAAGAAAGGTCCATGGCTGATGAGTGTCTGGCATTAGACCAAATTCTAAAGTGCTTCTAGGAGTAGAAAAAGGGGTTCTCTCCTCATCTCCATTCCTCCTCACTGCCATGCTTGTTGCAGCTGATCAGATGTTTCTCTTCCCTTTTGAGGAAATAAGATATATTCTTAAGATTTTGTCACTCCTTACCAGTCCCCAAGGCAAACACAGCCCTTGGGTGGGGAATGAGCAGAGTGAAAGGGCTCCCAATGTCTCTGAGCTCACACTGTCTGCACAGAGATGCTGGTGGAGACATCTCTCCACAAAGGACTGAACTGAGAATTACCTGCCCAGGCTCAGGCTACCATCTGAGATCTGAGAGGAGCATGAGCCCTCAATGACAAGAAATGCAGGGCCCAGTAGTGAGCGAGGCAAAGCAGGAGGTCAAGAGATGGAACAAGGGCCAGGGACCATATCACCCAGCCCCATTATTAAAGGGGAGGAAGGAAAGACTGTGAGTCTACCTTCCTTTCTTGTCCTTTTCCCTCTCTCCTTCTATCTCACTTCCACCACTCCTGTCCCTACATCTAACTTAAACTCCACTGTTTATCCCCCTTGCAGGAGGGGAATTAGAATAGGGAGGTTGCAAATATCAGTGGGCTGAGGTAGGAGAGAGGAAAGAGGCTGGAAAACACCCCACTGAGTGGGTGGAGCTGAGAAGATTTGCTGTTTTGCTTCTGATATCCTTGCTAACCTGTAAGGAAGGAATTTATCACTGAGACTGCCCCTAAAACTAATGGGAGGTCTGAAAAAGACATAAGAGTAATACAAACCAGGAAAAAAAAGTATTAAGTATAGGGTTGATATATTTTTTTATAAATAAAAGCTTATAATTTGATATTTACAAGAAAAGAGCAACCCATTTCAACTAGAAGGACTTTCCTCAGATCCAAACATTCTTCCAAATACTTTTGAACTGAAGGGTAATAGAACATGCTGCCCCAAAATATGCCCCTTTGGTGTATTGATTATTTTGAGCTGCAGGCACTTGAAAAACATCAAATGCAGGGAGAGACTTCCTCAGCACTCCCTTTATCTGCCTGAAGATGGATCTTCCAACAGGAACTGAAGGTCATAAATCCCCTCCCCAGAGTTTCATCAACCAGGGAAGATTGACTCTTGTCACAGAAGAGACTAGAAGTCAACAACATACTCAGACAAACTTTGTCACAAACTATCATAGTTCTCATCTATTCTTATAAGGGCCCAGTTATGTTTTCTAAAAATCATTTACTCTCCCTTAAGAGACCTATATCCCCACTCCCCTTTCCCTATTAACATGGTATTTAAGCCTGAATTCTAAGCCACCCCTGGAGTTATTCATTTTTCACTGAGTATCTCCCATGTAGTATATATGAGGTATACATGTTAATAAAATTCTGTTTGTTCTTCTCTTGTTAATCTGACTTTTATTACAGGGTTCTCAGCTAAGAACTCAGAAGAGTAGAGAAAAAGTTAATGTTCCTCCCCTACAGAACCAATGAATTGGCTAGAAGCATTCAATATGCTTAATCCCATTGCTGTGGATACTGAACTTTGTCTATTTTCATACTCTACTCTCTGCATATGTTATATTATTTGTGTATCCATCATTTTCACTCAAGACTTCTTTCAAGGCAGGGATCATATCTTACTCATCTCATTGTATGCTCCCCTCAAACATAGTAGCATATGTATATATGCTAAGCATCCAATAAGTGCTTACTATTTAATTAAACTCAGAAAACAAATTTCTTTAAAATTAAAAGAAAAATTAAATCTTAATTTTTTAATTTAAGGAAGTAAATTAAAATATTTTAAAATTACAATAATATTGAAAACTAACTATATAGTATGTACTCAGTAAATATTGGTTGGCCATATGGAACTTACTTACCATCTCAATGACTATTGCTCAAAATGATTTTGAGCAAGGGTTTCCATTCTCTACATATTTCAGCAAGATTGTGGGATCCAAAGCTATATCTCAGTAGGGCTCTGCCTGCCTCATTTTTAGCAGCTTCACTGAGATATCAGATAATTTGGAGTTTGATATTACATCTCATTTATGGAAGAACTCAACTGCTTTAAAAAGGTTTGAAAATTGCTGTGTTAAAAAAGAGTATTTTATCTTATCAGATCTTAAATATTATACTTTTTTTTATTTGTTCCCCTTTAGGGGCTGATTTAAAGTGTAAGGCGACACTAGGAAGATTTTTGGAAAGAAGGATGCAGCATTCCAAAAAATACTCTTACGGAGTTGTGTTTGGTCCAAAGAACAATGTGCATGACAACCTAATAAGGAGGTTCTACTTACTAGTGATAGGGCTTGTGAGACTGTTCATTGGTTTTGTCAACTAACTTACTTGAATGTAGTTGTCAACAATTCCCCAAGCAAAGTCACAGGGAAATGTGCCTTCTAGGGGTTGATTTTCAGGTAAAGGAGGGAAGCCGTTTTTCTCTATCAGCTGTTGGTAGAACAAAGCTGAAGACTTCGGCAACAACTTCTTATCCTGGCTCAAAAAGTCGACATAGAAGAGTCCACGCCTGATGCTGTAGCCTCTGTGCCACTCGAAGCCGTCCATGAGGGACCACGCTGTGTACCCAATGATGTTCACCCCGTCCAGCCTGATGGCTGCAAAGGGAAGAGAGGACAAGAGATTTGAGGGTTTTACTAAGTAACGAATAAGTTATGTAGTGTGCTCATTGTTTGGTAGAGCAATGACCTACAAAAGAATCTAATCAAACCTATATAACTCTACAAATAAATGTCTTCACAAATAGGCTTATCTCCAATAAGTTTTTATTTGGATTTCTTTTATTTCCAGTGGGTGCTCTTTGGATGTTCCCCTTTCTATCCTAGGCACCTAACATTGTGCCTGATGCAATAAAATGAAGACAGTTTTTAAAAGCATGAACTACTTACTATTTTCTCCAGAAAATGTTGATATTCTTATTTCTTTAAAAAGTGTTTCATTCAGGCCCTAGCCAGTTTGGCTCAGGGATAGAGTGTCAGCCTGCAGACTGAAGGGTCCCAAGTTTAATTCCGATCAAGGGCACATGCCCAGGTTGCGGGCTTGATCCCTAGTAGGGGGTGTGCAGAGGCAGCTGATCAATGATTCTCTCTCATCATTGATGTTTCTATCTCTCTCTCCCTCTCCCTTCCTCTCTGAAATCAATTAAAAAATTTTTTTAAGTGTTTCACTCAGTACAAGCAATAAGAACCCAAAAACATTTAAAGGGAGCTAGATACTCTGGGATTTACTTAATCCTTAATGTAATATAAAAATCTATAGTAGTAACTCTGAAAGTCAAGTAATTTTACACATTATAACCCAGTTTTTGATTTACAAAATGAGTTTAAAAATTATATAAGTTTCTTAAGGTCCCAAATGAGAAAGGTGTTACATAAATGTATTCTTATTATTGCCAAAATGAATTTCTATATTTTGATTAAAAACTATAATTCACATAGTTTATTACAGATCATCTTAAAGACTGTTTTACCAGGGGATTTTGGCAAGAATTAGAATTTTATCCCAAATCCTACCTTTTAAAGTTTCCATTATAAATGTTTTGAGGTAATACATATATTTGGCATCATCTCTCTTGGTGGTCCCTGAGACAAACCAGCTGTTTTCCACAATAAATATTTGAGGATGGTTATATTCAAGGTCAATCCAGGAAAGCAATTGCCTTAGGCTGGGAGATTCTAATTGGCGGAACTTCATACGAGGGTCCAATAGTTGAAAACTCAAGGTTGGTCCAAAGGAAAGAGCAAAAAAGTCAGCTGTGCCTTTGATGAACTTTTTCTCAGGTTCAGTAAAAGCAGGCAGAAGAGATGAAAGATTATTCTTCATGCTTTCAGGATAGTCACCATCAATAAATATTGGTTTGGCAAACCAGCCTAGAACAAAGTCAAGAGATTTTTGACATTCTTTGATATTGTGGTCTGTCATTCTTCGCGGATTGATCCAGTGGGAACTTAGGGCAATGGACACCTGGCCCCCCTGAGTTGGACGGAAAGAAGTATTGTAGAGATGCCAGATTTTGGCATGAGCCTAAAAAGAAAAAGAAAAAAAATGATAAACTTATTTATGATTGTGAGGAGACATAAAATACATATTTGAATTCCCAATCCTAGTTGTATCTGTTTCTTATCAAACTTAACCTAATGACTAACTCCACAATGTAAAAGTCACCTGGAATCAGTAAATTACTTCAGAGGTAGGTCAGCCAACAGTGAGCTGCTACCCTGACTGGAATTATTTCCATTGTTTTACAGCAGCCAGTGGAAAAATGTGTATTTCTGGTATTGAATGTGTAGTTACTATTAATACTTTGAAAAATTAATGAAATAAAAATGTTATAATATCTTGCTGTTTAATTAACTTTGTATTTTGTACTTTTTAATTAATAGGCTTGGTGAAAAGAACCAATCCCAAAAATGTGATCAAACCAGAAATCTCTAAATAGGATTATATTTTTTTATCCTAAGAGACTGGGAGTTTTCAGGTTGACTCAAATTGTTGGAGTCAATTTTATATTATGTACCCATCTCTCAGAGCTAAACTTCTAACACATGTTCTCACAATCTTTGTTTTTCACTAAGAAGAATCAGTGCATAAATTAAAGGATCAACTCCAATATCTAACCTTAGCTCACCCACCAGAACTCCGGAACAGTGCTGACTTCCCGCAAGACCCAGCATTCAAGATACAAGCGAAGCAAAAAAAACCCACAAAAACAAAAAGACACACCAAAATACAGCTTTAGATCTGATGTCTGTAGTTAGTCAGCACTCAGCCTGGAGTTTCCTGCAGCAAAGAAATGGGCTTTGTTTCCATAATACCAACTTTATATTCCCATAAAATCTTATTGACTTCGGATTTCTTATTTTAATTTGTTTCCTTTTTATTGATAAAGAATAGTGCGAATGATATGGGGTTTCCTACCTTACTTGAATTATGTTTCTCTTTACTTTTGAATTCCTCAAATTACTCTATTTTGCTAAAAATACAAGTGCTGTTTGTTTGTTTTTAATATATTTTATTGATTTTTTACAGAGAGGAAGAGAGAGGGATAGAGAGGTAGAAACATCAATGAGAGGGAAACATTGATCAGCTGCCTCCTGCACACCTCCTACTGGGGATCTGCCCGCAACCAAGGTACATGCCCTTGACCGGAATCGAACCTGGGACCTTTCAGTCCGCAGGCCGACGCTCTATCCCCTGAGCCAAACCTGTTAGGGCAATACAAGTGCTGTTTATCAGCCTTTTACTCTCTTAGTATATCATCTTTAAAAACTTATTCTAACTCTGTTTGACCCAAATTCTCCAAAATGGTCATGCCAGTTTTCATTCTACTCTCTCTAGGCTCTTTCACTCAGTATGCCTAATATCCTCTTTATTTTTTTCGGAATAATCTTCTCCTGATTATTCCAGTGTGGGTGTCCAAGAATGGCATAATTACTATTCTTATGAGTTCAGCCAAACATTTCAGTGGACTAAAATAATTTATGTTGAACTTTCATTTTTAGTGTCTTAGTAAATATCTATGTTTCATTTCATTGAATGTATTTTTTGTGTGTTTGACCCGAAGCAGCTATCTATATGCTAAGAAGAAAATGGAGAATAAAATGTTGATCCAAATAATAGTGACATTTGTCCATGTGATTCAAAACCTGGAGATTAATTGTGCTATACTGCTGGCTTTCTGATGTCTCCTACCCTTCTCTGTCTTCCTCTGTTTTGACACCCAACTCTTCTTTCCCACTTGACAAGAAATCTCAGCCTGACATTTAACAGTTAAACAGAAAAGAAAGAGAGCCGTACACACTAGTACTCAGGGCTTCAGACCAGGGGACTTTATTAATTTGGCCCAATTGGAGGCCCAAGACAATTATACCTTAAATTTTACATACTTCTACAGAATAAATGCTGTAATGGGTAGGGTGGGCATCAGGCAAGAGTGAGAGCAACCCAAGAACTTCCTAATCTGAGTGAGTTTTTCAGGCAGCTGAAGTGACAGTCATATAATAGAATCGTTTACAATCATGGACTACTACTCTAACCATAACTACTTTGACATGGCTCAGAGGGGGTTGGGCAAGAAAACAAAAGACCTGAGCTATATAGCAATACACATGTGATATTTGATGTCAGATAAAATTCCTGCTCCATCATGTTTAGCTATCTGTCTTTTACCACATTACTTAACCTGAGCAGGTGAGACTAACTTCCCTGTGTCTTTTATGGGGTTATTATGAGAATTAAATAGGATAATTTAAATAAAACACCCAATGCAAAGTTTGCATATGGTAGGGTCTCCATGAACATTTATTCCTTCTGTCCCTAAGGGATGCGCAAACCAAAAAGGAAGATGTTGAAGCTAAGGAAACACCCTCTGCTAAGGAATCATGTGATGCAGTGACATGACCTGTGGTTTGGATTAGAAGAAACAGGTTTGGATCCCAAGTCCTCTATCCATGACCAGTATGAGCTTTAGTTATTTCTCTGAAAAAATGGAAATAATGTCTATTCTCCTGTAGGAACATTGTGAGGATTAAAGGACATGATGCAAATGAAAGCTTACATCAAGGTATTTATTATTTAGAAAGTATAAATTTGCAACATTGGGAGGTATGATGGTTAATTTATGTCAACTTGACTGGGATTAGGGAACCCCATACAGCTGGTAAAACATTTGTTGAGAGTTTAACTAAGCAACTCATGGTATTGCTGCCTCAGAACCCAGTTTCTTTAATCATGCAGTCTCAGGGACCTTCAACTGACACTGGACTCTTATAAAAGCACATGCCCTAGAAGGCGGCCTGCAGAGTCATAAGAAATTGAGTTCCTGATATGATTTTCCCAACAGCCTTTGTGATTGACAGTCTCTCCTTCCTCCCACTGCCTGTATGCCTTATGCACCTCTTATATAAGACTCTCATGGGGCTTACCAAAACCATCTTTTGCCAACACCAAAGCACTCCACCCACAAACCCTAATAAAGGCATGTGTCCCAAATTTATTCTCTCTCTCTCTCTCTCTCTCTCTCTCTCTCTCTCTCTCTCTCTCCTCTCTCCTCTCTCTCGTGCTCTGCCTTGACATCCCTGTATGGCCCCTGAGGCATGCCTTGTATGGCCTCCATAATCTGTGAGCAACAAACTTCTCTATATCAGTTTATCTTGTGCTGTTTCTCTTGTGCTCTGTTGTTAAACCCCGGCTTGCACCCTATGCTCCATTTAGCAAATGTTAATTTAACAAAACCATGGCAACATCATTTCTGGGTATGTCTGAGAGGGTATTTCTGGAAGAGATTAGCTTTTGAATTAGTAGACTAAGTGAAGAAGATCACCCTCACCTATGTGGCTGGGCATCATCCAATCAAGGCCTGAAAAGGCAAAGGAAGAATGAACTTGCTCTCTGATTAAACTAAGACATCCATCTTCTGCTATCCTTGGACATTGGCTCCTTTGGTCGTAGGCCTCCAGAAATGGACTGAAACTATACCACCAGCTTACCTGATCCTCCAGTTTCCAGACAGCAGATCATAGGACTTCTCAATCTCTATACATGTGATCCAATCCCTCATAATAAATCTATTTCTACATATCTATTTTTATCCTATTGATCTGTTTCTCTGGAGAACCCTAACTAATATAGAAAGCATCTTTGGTACCATTTAGCTTAACCACTTGCCCCGTTCCAAACCCCCAAATGTATCTGTTATTTGATTGCTCTCTACAGCAACCCAAATTGCAGGTCACTCCATGTATGGCATCTTATCCAGGAAGTCCCCTCACCCCTTCCTATCCCACTTGCCATGCTGAGCTGCCTGGCCTTCCTCTGGATGCCCTCCAAGTCTTAGGCAAACTTATCTTACATCATTTATTGCAAAATTGATTTGCCTCCTAAGCCTGAGCTGAGCTCCCTAAGGAGTTCCCTCATTCTTTCCCTGGTACATGGAGGCCCCAGTGTCTGTTAAACTTAACCAAACTCTTCTCTTTAACTCCTCATGAGTTCAATTCATTTTCCAATGGTAGATTTGAATAATCAAATACTATGAGGTGTAGGAAGGTCACCATTTGGGATACTAGCAAGTAATGATGATTAATTGAGGAGGGTTATGTATGGTTTTGCATAGCCTTCTAATTATTCTTGGTATGGTTATCTTATAATATTTTTATCTTAAGATTGAAATTTAATAAAGCTATTGATATGGACTCAGGGAAATAATTAAGAGTATGAGCAAGAATGTTCATCTAAATGCTATTTCTAATAGCAAAATATTGAAACCAATTGAAATGTCCAATATTCAAATAAATTTATACCATCATATGCATGTTTTAATACATTTTAGTGTAACTAAAGAAATACAAGAAATGCTACTATTCATATATTGTAAATAATACAGAAGAATGTGAATTAATGTGTCACATATGTTCCTAAAATACTAACTGAACAAAATAGCAGGTTACAAAGTAATATTTAAAATTTTAATAGCATTTTTATTAAAGAAAAATATGTATGTAAAGATCCAGAGGATTTATAAATTGTTAAAAGAAGTTTTGTAGCAGGATTATTGATGGTATAATTCTTTTCATCTTGCTTATTTGTATATTTTTCATTTCCTAACATATATATGTATTGCTTTAGAAGTAAGAAAAAAAACTTAAAATTCAAAACAGAAAAATAGCTCATAGGAGTAGAATGGCAGACCATGCTTGAATTATCCATGATGATTATTTGAAAGCGGTGATGTAATTAAAATAAACCCTGCCTAGCTGTTCTCTAACCTGCCCTATAGTCCCTGCCACAATCCTCTCAGACACATTGAACCCTATGTGAAGTTCTGAGACCCTCAAGACTTCCATGCTTTTATAGGTTCAGCTCTCTCCTGTTTTACCTACTCCCAGACTCTCCAGCCTCACCCTCTTCAAAACTCATCTCATACATCACGGCCTCCAGAAAGTCTTCCCTGACATTTTCTCTCTACCTACCCTTTCTAACAGCTTTCTAAATGTCTATTCCTGTGTCTCCACATCTGGCCTCTATCA